CAAAGGAAGGTTGTTCAGGTATTCCGTCAGCATTGTGTTCGCTGATGTTTGTGAATTTTCATAATATTGGATCTCACAAGACATTCTAGTGACTTTCCAAAGTCATTGGACACTCCTGTTCTGAAGAATGGCAGTGATGTGACCATGATCAGTGTTGTTATTTACTAGAAATTCTACTTTGAACTCTAACCCAGGATCAGGTTGTATGGGAAAAGGAAAGCTCTGGATCTGTGCCCAGGGTCTCTTGGGAAGAACTGCAAGGGAGGAGAGGGGCAAGATGAGAAGCTCAGCTCGTTCTTAGACTGAAGGAAGCATAGTGACTGCCAATCAAGTGATGTCACATGTAGGGATTAAGTCCCAGGGAAAGTGGCTACAAACCCAAATCAAGATTCACTTCCCAGTACCTGGGCAGGGCCACGGAACCTCAGGAGCACAGTAGACCTTGGTAAGCAACACCAGGAAAGGCGGGGAGAAGTTGGCTCATGTCATAGGGAACTAGTCCATGCTGCTCTGCCGAGTTCTGCTGTGACAGCAGATAGGGTCCAGGCTCAAGTCCTCAACACCAGCCCAGAGCCACAGGGCCAGCTCGCCTTGGCCAGGCCCAGAAGGGCTCCAGCTGTGTGATACCCAAGGAGAAAGAGATCCACAAATGATTTCTGCTAGAAGAGGGGGCTCCCCATGAGAGGTCTTGGCTGAAGACCCCAGCAATCACCAGGGGAGACTTTGGGAGAATGGGAGGGATGTCCTGAAAAGACACAGCAGGGAAAAGCTGCTTTAGTGAGAGCACGGTTCTCATTTCACCCTCAGCCAGTGTTTTCAGCTGGAAACTTCCCCTTGGCCTTGTCTGAGTAGGGAAAGGTGAGGCATCAGGAGCCAGGCGCCTCCTCTTTGTGTCTGCACCCGGCCACATTCCCCATGGGCTGCATTGTGTCTGGAGGAAATAGAAGCATGACTAAGCTGATTTGTATTCTGCCAACCAAGGGAAAATATAATTAACACGGCTGCCAGGCTCCAAAAAGCCCATGGGAAAAGTCCAGAAGGAAAGGGCTCCCGCAGTGCAAGGTGACGTCAGAGCCGAGGAAAGGCCACTCTCCTCTAATCCCACAGTGGCCCTACAATGAAAAAAAAGGAAAAGGCCATGAGACCTGGTCCATTGGGCTGTTAAAAAGCACCTATGGCCCCAAGGAGCAAGGGTAGGGGGTGGGTCTAGCAGACCTCAGTGACAATTCCCCGTCTCCTGCTGCTGAGTTCTGCCAATCACTGTCACACCATCATCAGGAGCAGACACCTGATTGATGTCCTGCCTTCCAGCAGGGACAAGAGACCTGCCAGACACCAGGAAGAAGCAAAACCAGCTGCTGTATCACACACACCACACACCACACACACACACCTAGCTTCTGATTGTGTGTCAGGAAGAGGAAAATAAGACAGAAATTAGTAACCCCAAGAGCTACTCTCCTTCTAAAAGAAAATGAGTGAATTTCATTGACCATTTCCTTCCCTCTGATGGCTCATGTTTGCATTGAAAGACTATTGGCTAGCATTATTAATGTTAAACCTTTTGATACATTCAACTCCAATCTCTAAAATTTTCAATTATTTTACCATTTCTATTTTCATGACTTTAACAAACTAGTGTTCAGTTCTCCTTCCATGAGACTCCTCTTATTTCATGAGTGTGGTCACCTGCCTCCCACCGCCCCACTTGCCTGGAGGTATCAATGTCTATCTTCCTGCCCTAACAGCTGTCTATCCAGGCGTCACTCTCGTGTTTGATTTATATATCTGCCTTCCGTTATGAAACTAAATTCATTTATTTGTTCATTCATTCTTCAACTTAATGATTATCAAGTGTTGGGGCATGGCTCAAGTGTTAGAGCATCTGCCCAGCAAGACCAAAGCCCTGAGTTCAAACCCCAGTTCCACCCAAAAAAAAGAACAAAAGAAAGAAAAAAGAATATCAATATCAATTTGAATTCTTTGTTAGGATTCTCCCTAATTGGTTCTAATTTCATACCCCTGAGATAAGGGTTTAATGAACTTAGCCTATAAATGAAGTTTTATGTAAGATGTTAGGCTAATTTCAGTCTTTATTCAATAAAATGATGATACTTGTGAAATTATAAGATATCCTTTAATCTAGTTTCATCTACAAAAATATGGAAGAAAGAACAAAAAGAAATGATAAGCCCACATTTAGTGGAAGAAGGTTGCAAATGCATCAAGGCTAAAGTGCCTCTTTTATTAGTAAGTGCTAGTGGTGATATATTTTTTTTTAGGGAGGGTGTGTCAATTACTTTTAAGAAGAGATTATCCAATGGGAAGTCTGCAAGTACTAACTGGACTTTGTGTAATCCACACTTCCTGCTTGGTTGATGAAAAAGAAAAGAGTAAAAAATGATAGGCAGATTCCAAACAAGCGTGAAGTCATTTGCTCAAGTCCCAGAGACAGGAAAATGCAGACCAAGTTTTTTGTGGTTCCGCAATCAGAAGCCACCGTTGAGGATCTTACTGCCATAGAACCTGGATCCAAAACAGATGCACTCATAATTCTTGGTAAACATTTAAAAGTTACTGTTTGACCTTAAATTTTTATCTTTCACTAGGAAATCATTCTTTCCTGTTTTCATGTATAAAAGACACAAGTTCATTGCTGGAATTCCAGTAGGAAAGAAAGAAATGTACTGGACTTTCTTCGCTCATCTTTGCCCCGTGAACTGTGAGAATCTGAGTAAATCATTTCCCTCTCTGATCTTTGAAGATGCCCCAAACTCCCTCCCACAGGTGGCCCTAAGGGTCAAATTAGGTAACCCAAGAGGGAGCCTGACTGACAAGTAATCATTTCTTCACTCATTCATTCATTCAAGAAATACTCCTTCATTGGCTGTGGTGCCCAGGCACTGTACTAGTGCACCAGAGATGCTGGCAAATAGCACAGGGGGACCATTGGCATGTCCCCCTCATTCTTCCCTGACATGGCAACCTATCAGCTCACTAAACCTGGCAAGGTCCCTGATGGACACACTCCCTCTCCTATGCTGCCCAAGTCTCCAGGGCACTTGACTCCAGTCTCCAGGGAAAGCCCTCTGCCCACAAATCCAAGCACTCTCTTGACAAGGAATAGTTGTAGAATTTTTCCCCCCTAGGAAATGATATGTCACTCTGGGGTTGGTGACCTCCAAACCCACATCCCCAGCAGTGGCATTGGGCAGTCAGATTCTCTGACCCAATCCTGGACCTGCTGGGCGCCCAGTGATGACTACGTGAAGCCAGGTTTGGAAATCACCGCTTTTAGCCACCAGGTATATTTTGTTAGTTCTTCTCATCAGCAGGCATTCCCCTTGACTGGGCTGTCTTCTGGTCCATCTCTCTGTAGCTTTGCTACAGGTTTTTCTACTCACCTGTGTAGAAATCCCTACTCTTTGCTGCAGAGAATGATCAATGGGTTTTACACACGGCTAGCCAGCTCTTGGCCCTGATGCATACAGTCTGTTCAGTGCATTGGACTTTATGGGCATTTCCCTGTTAAATTCAAGTTCATGGCTGGTGTTTCTCCCCAGTGAATAAGCTGGTAAGCACACTTCCTGCACAACCTTATGAGACGAAGGAGAAAGAAGAGCAAATGATCACATTTCATCTATATCATGGCTTCATGGTTTTTTTAGTGAATTTTGACAAATACGTATATTCAAGTAGCCACCACCCTAATCAACACACAGAATAATCCCACCATCCCCAAACATCTCCCTTACACCCCTGTAATCAGCCCCTCCCTCTGTTCTCTCAGGCCCCTGGGAGTCACTGTCCCTATGGATTTGGTTTTTTTCCCAAATCTTGGTCTTTTGGCTAAGATCAAGTGCAGGATATTGTATTAATGGACACATATAATACATTGTACCAAACTTTTCCTCCCCCACCTACCCTCCCACATCACCCACTACCCTTTGCAAACTCTGATCTCTGATCTTTCCCCAGTGATTTGGGGAAGGGCAGGGGAAGAAGCTATTGCTGCTTGCAGAGTGCCTTGCCCAGAAAAAGCATCTTTTTTGGGGGCAGGGGGAGCAGACTGGGGTTTGAACTTGGGACCTCATGAGTGCATGTGCATGAGGCACTCTACCACTTGGGCCATACCACCAGCCTAGGAAGCATCTTCTTGCTTCTTCCCTATTACCCCTGCTTCACCTTTCTTTGAGTAGCAACCTTCAGATCACAGGAAGAGAATTGTTTTACAGGATAACAGAATATTCAGATGTTCCTGGAAAGTATGAGACATTTGACCTCGACCTTGACCCTTCCCCCAACACAGTAGAGGAAGATGTAGGAAAAGAAGAAGGAAAAAACCAAAACAGCAGGAAGGGCTTTCACACAATCAGAAAGTGAGTCTTAGACAGAAGGTGACCTGGCCTCTCTCTGAGCAAAAGCAAATGATCATCTCTCTCCAGCAGACAACAGGCCTAACCAAAACTGGGAGACAGAAAATCAGCAAGCATTTTATTTTTCCCCTACTCCAGAGTCCTGGGTGTTCCATTTGGAAAAAATCCCTACAGAACCAGTGTCTGTGTCTTTCCGTTTTCAAGCCTAGCAGCCGCTTCCCCACTAATCCCACAACTAATGTCATCCATAGCTAGACAGGACAGCATCTTCAAAGAAGTGAAGACTGAGCTGTGAACAGTTTCTTCCCAAAGGCCAAGATCTCAGAGCCCTCCTGGAATGTCAGCAGTATCAGAGGGTACTGACCCTCATATCACCCGACGGTCAAAGGACAGAAGAGGCACATTCACTCATATACTGTGTGCATTGCCGGAGGCCACAAGTAAAATTATACTTTAAAAGAATCCACTCCATGTATTAGGCTTCTCTTTGGATACTGTAATGTGGCAGCCTCTATACAGTCAGATCTGCTGCCACAGCCCGAGGATTCCACTCCGTGTTTTCCATCCTCCCTTCACCTGCCTTTCAGTCAACCCAGAGTTTGATCCTGCTAGTGGCTGGAGCAGGATTCCAGCGACAGGCGACAAAGGACGGTAGTAGGAGCCTCTGAAGTCTGACTCGGCCAGTGGGAATTCCACCTGCATCACAAAGGCGAGGGGCACACCTGAACCAGGGCTGACAGGAAAAGGCAAGTATGGCCGGCCAGCCAGCAGGCAGGCTCGCACTTGGAGCTGCTGTCTCTGTGGAAGGGTGCGCGGCTCCAGTCCAGGGGTGAGAGGATGAATCGGTGTGATAGACCAGGGTACTGAGGCTGGGTTTGACCACTTCTGCAAAGCTTGCTTTTGGTTAGGAGATTCCTTATCTGGTCTCTGCACCATTGGTGTTCTTTGGGGCACAGAAACACCATGGGACAAAACACTTTGAGTGTTTGGCTTTGCATTACAGCACTACCAGATGTACCCCTCAGGGTCACCAAGCAGAGAGAGCGTGAAGGAAAAACTGGTGGAGAATTGCTTCCTGCAGAGTGTGTGTGTGTGTGTGTGTGTGTGTGTGTGTAAGCAAAGCTGAGAGTTAAGGTGGGTACGGATTGTTAAATGTTTTAGGATTTTTATACATGTTTAATTTAGAACAAATTAGTTTGTTGCCATAACAAAGATGCTAATAAATAATAGCAATAATAATAATAAGTGCTTTCTGTAAGTCTAGAACACACACACATACACACCAAGCTGTAAAGTACCATCCAAAAGAAGCATGCTTTCACACTCCTGTAAAATATATTATCTTCTAAGTAAAACGGTATAATTAATAGCTTGAAGGAAGATGAAGCATACAGGTTGCTAAGATTGTTGCATTAAATTTAAAGTAATTGACTCAGTTTATTTCACCTTTTTTTTTTAATAGCATTGAATTACCCAGTTGGTTTTCTCCTTTTGAAACTTAGCATCACCTTGTTCGGTTATCCCTGAAGGCATCTTTAATCTTTCACCCTCCCTGGCAGACAGCTCAGGACTTGCTTTTTCTCCTCTGCGTTGTCTGAGTCCCACTGGTAATCGGTAGAGAATAGAATGATTCCCGCTTTTTCTTTGCACAATACCTGTCATCACCATTAACACTTCAGAAGTTCACAGCTTTCTCCAATGGTGTTATTTCTTCCCCTTCCTCTATTGCGTTACATCATTAACTCCCGAAAGGAAGCTGTGCTTTTGATTGAGAAACCCAGGAATTAGAAAATTATGGATTCCTTCAGGTTATTTAAAGGGTTCTCTGCCTGACCTATGCTGTGTTTAAAAGAGTGGCGGGGTAACAGAGAGCAGGAGGTATAATTACTGCTTCTCCAGGTTCATCTTACACTTTCCAGAACCAAAGTGTGAGATCCTCATAAAAGGAGTCTCCTAAGCTCTCACTGGACAGCCCTGGGTCATTTCCTCTGAATTAGTCTTCCAGCCAAGCTCTGAATTCTGGCCCTCAGTCACGGCTGATCCAGGAATTCAGTGCACACATCACATCCTGAAGAAGTGTCTGGGATCCAAAGGAGCAGGAACCTTGCTTGGGGAAGGCTCCTCCAGTAGCATCCCTAGCCAGGATATGAAATGTTCAGGTTAGAGGTTCACTTCATTTCATCTGTCCAGGAGGATTTCTTGCTTTTTAAATCAATATCTGAGCTGTGCCACCTAGCCCCAGTCCATAATAGTGTAATTGAAAGACTCTTTCACGTGTAGCTGCTGGCTGCCATTAAATCTTTGGCTGCTGAAAATCAGTAAGAGAACTAGTGACAACGACCATTTCTCAAAAGTCTGGTGTTTACCATTGCCTCTCTTGATAGCTCTGTGGTATTGTCTCTGTGGCTTCTCAACCTGATCTTAAGAGTTACCCCCATCTTACAGATCGGGAAACTGAGGCTTAGCACCTTCTAAGAGGGAGAGAAGCCAGGTCAGCCTGATCCCTAAACAGGGGGTCTTTCTGTATTACACTAGACCCCTAACCTTCACATTCCCAAGACTTCTGGGCAAGATAAATTTAAAATAAATCGAGTGGCTTTGATGTTCCCTAAAGAAGAGGTAGACAGCAGCTTGGACAGAAGGCATAGGAATCATATGAAACCTTTCTGCACTGCCAGCGAGCACCAGCTCCCAGAAACTCTAACAGCAAAGTCTCCATCTTAAGTCTCTTATTTAGTGAGATGGAACAATGGAGAGGGATGGGAAGAGGCAAGAAGAGAGGGCCTCTGGGCTCCCCAGAAAGGGAGTCTCTTCTCTTCCCAAGACCATGGTACTGTGCACTATGGGACTGGAGCGGAAACCGGGTCTTCATGGAGTTGCTTAACCACCTCATCTGAAAGGGAAGAGTATTTTAGATTTAATTTCTTCTCCTTGGTAGAATCCACCAAGCCCCCACCTATTTATTTGGAGAGAAGTTGGGCCCCCACAGACAGGTCTTCCCAATGGCTGCAAAACTGACTATTCACCAGACTTCCAACAGGACCACACAAGTGTAAAATTTTTATCCTCAACAAAAAGTAACAACCCTTCCTCCATTTTTGTCACTTAAAAAATCTGTGTTCATGAAAACTGGCCTCCAATTTCTTTTTATATAACCCAACAGATTGACTGGGAGGTGAAAGGCTAGCTGACGGCCAGCACATCTCAACCTTTAAAAAATTCCTTAATAGCCAGGAATAGTGAGACACACCTGTAGTCCCAGCTACTTGAGCCTATCGGTTCGAGACCAGCCTGGGCAACATAGTGAGATCTTGTGTCAAAAAACAAAGATCCCCTAATATTTAAATTTTTCTTATTCTAATGTGTCCTGAAGCATTCTTTCTGGTTAATTTTTGTTAAGGCATAGTTATGTAATGTCAGAGGATTTTAAGCATAGTCTTTATTGTTATCCATTTTTCATTCAAACATCTTCATATATCTGTGCATAAGTAATTCATGATTGTACTGATTTCTTTTTCTTTTCTTTTTTTTTTACAAATAATCATTGTCAAAATACATTGCTTTTGTACTGCCAGCTCCATTAGTCATCTTTTGCTCATATGGAAGTGATACAGCCATAGAAAGACACAAACACTGTGGCTAATATCATGCAATAGTAGAAGAAAAGGGAAGGTGAGTGAGCACTTTTAGAAACAAAAACTATTTCAGCCCAGGTGTGGTGGTGCACACCTGTAATCCCAGCACTCAAGAGGCAGAGGCAGGAGGCGTATGAGTTTAATGAGTTTAAGGCTACATAGGAAAATCCAGTATGGGTGGGGGATCTATTTCCATCAAAAAGCTATTCCTAAACTTCTCCAGGTAAATCTGTTGCTTTACAAAAGAAAGACTGAATTTCTTTACAATGGAAAATTACGTTGAAATTTGAAAAGTATAGAGAAAAACTCCCTCTGGAAAGGTGGGGATGAGAAAGCCTCCACCACACCCAGCTTCATCTCTAATTCATTCTCCACCGTGTGAATTTACTGGGCAGACACTCTGAGCCACCAAACCTCTCCCTCCTGAGAGCTTGCAGGGACTGACCACTGGCTGGGCTGTCCAGGGAAGTTCCCAAAGTCTCCCCTCCATTCTTGGCCACCCACTATCACATCCCAATTTCCCAACCACCTTCTTCCCCAGTTCTCTACCGCTCCACACTGGTTGTCTAACCTTCAGTGCTCAGTGACCTTACTGTACCCAGCAAAAAGTGGCCTCTATTCCTGTGTTCACTGAGCACTTCCTGCCAGTTTTGCAGCTCTTCTCAGAGTCTTGTTTATTCCGGTATGTGTCAGTGTATGTCATCTATGTTCCGTCCTCAGCACAGGGACTGGGCACACTCATCTTTGAATCTTTTCCCTGGTCACCTCCCTTTCTTCTATGAGTGTGTCCTAGTACACAGTCGATGCTCTGTAAGTTGACACATACTGAAGATAATTTCAAGAATTTCTTCCCCCAGGTTTACACAAATCACACCTCAGAATGCTCAGAGAATTTGTAGATATGACTGATAGATGATTATCTGGGAAAGCTTTGTACATCTGCAAGGCTGTTTTTTAAAGGAGACAAGGACACTCCCGCTTTCAAATACAATTTTTTAAACAAAAAAGTAGTTTTTAAAAAGCATAGACTGGTAAAACGATGACAAAAATCTGGAGTACATTAGGAAACAGGGAATGTGAGACTTGTACAACACAACCCGAGTTCCCCAGAATCAAGCCATCTCATGTGAACCATATTTCTTTTTTATACGTAAGCATAAAAAGATCAGTGAGGTGAGGAACACGTAGCAATAGAAATTTGCAACTCCGTGGTGTGTCCTGACCAGTCTGAAGTTGTAGCTCAAATTCCAGAAACAGCACATATGGCCTAAAGCCGATTGGTCAGAGAACCAGAGGTGACAGTGGTGTCACAAAGCAAATGTCATAAAGCCTTATCAGGGCTTGATGGAGCATTTCTTGATCTCCATGTACCTGAAACAATCTGCCGTGGCATGTTTTTCCACTTATTCAACAAATATTTCAAATGTGCATCAGGTGCCAATTGTGGTTGATGCTTCACCAGTGTTTGTGGCACAGAAGCAAATTCTGAGCTAGTCGATAGTAAGGAGAACAAAACCAAGTCAGAAATTGATCGTCTGAAAATCTCTTTGGAGCTGCAGGAGGTCAGAAGATTGACTGGTGTGAATCCCTGTCTCTCTGGGTGCATGGCCTGCCCCCTCCTCACTCGGATCCGCTCAGAGAATTCGCCGACCTCCTCACTCTAAAGTCACCTTGCTCAGGTGTTTTCTCTTCCCTAGCACTGTTGTGTTTTTCTTGGCCCCACTTCTCACTCTTTGCAGTTACCTGATTTGTGCAGCTTTCACACATGGTCTATTGTCTGCTTCCTTAGAATGCGGTGAGAATAGGCGAGGCGGCTCACAGGGCTGGGCCTCCTGTTCCTTGTTCTTCAATATGTTTTCCAGTGGCAATTGATGTCATTCCTGCTAATCAAATGTCCAGGTGACAGAAAGTTAGAAGGAATAGTGAACATGGCACACAATAACAGCATTGTGACAGTACTTTGATAATTGGAGAATTAGAATTAAATGCCAGCTATTATCGTTATTTTAAGTGACTAGTAAATCTAAACCAAAACCAATAAAATGAAATCACCAAGGCTAAATACAAGTGCGTGCATTTAGGCTCAAAAATCAAAGGAAAATCAAGAAGGC